TCCTTCTTTGATGACGCATAGACTTTGAAGGTGAGCAGACTCAGGCTGACCGGTCCCATGGATCTCTGAATTACCTGAAACACAGAAGCAGTCGTAAGTCTTCACTCAATGCTACACAGTGAATGTGCATAACCTGAGTGTATTAGTAGCTTTAGCCACTCTTGCCCTAAAAGGCTTATTGTACTTTATGAGAAATCAATTTATTCCTTAAGTTTTGAGAAAGTCAGAACCTAAAACAAATGTTGTCATGGACTTAAAATTTCAGGTCACCGTTATCTTAATTTCCACAAGACAACAGTTCCTAAGTTTTTCTATTTAGTCATTCAAGTAAAATGAAATTAAAAGATATATACACAAACTTTTAGAAATAATGGAGAAAATTCTACAGAATGAAGTTAGAACTTTGAAATAGTCTCTCTTTCATGCCACATCACCATCACTACCACCAACACCGAAACAGCAGCAAGGGAAAGAGTTTTTGCATGATTTCATCTAGTCTCATTTTATAGAGTGAAGATTATTCCTTTAATTCTAATAATCAAACCTTCAGAAGATCTCTTTTTCCTCTCCCATCAAGGGCTAGTTTCTCCAATCTCAGTTCCCTGACTTGGCCTCTTTCTATGCTTTGTTCTCCCTGACTGAGTTACTCACACCTACCACTTCAACAGGAAGCCAGGGACTCCCAGATAGAGAGCTCCAGCCCAGACTTCTCACCTAAGCTCCTGACTCACTTATCCTATTACTTCTGGATACTTCAACTTGGAAAGGATTCGAGTTCCACAAACTGAACGTGTCTAAATCTAACTCATCATCTTTCCCCGAGGCCTGCCCCTCTCTCTCAGGAATGGTGCCACCACCTAATGACACTACTAACTCAGAAAGTGAAGTCATCTTCACCTGTCTCCATCATATTGCTCACTACTAAAAGAAACCAAATCCATTGCCATTGAGTCAGTTCCAACTCATAGCAAGCCCAAATGACAGAGTAGATAGGAACTGTCCTATAGTTTCCAAGGTTGTAATCTTTATGGAAGTAGATTGCCACATCTTTCTCCCAGGGAGTGGCTGTTGAGTTTGAACCTCTGACCTTCTGGTTAGCAGCCAAGCATTTAACCACTGTACTACCAGCGCTCCTTTTTTTTGTTCACTAAGCCTCATAAATTCTACTTATTAAATTATCTTAATTCTACTCTCTCCTCTACCCCATCCTGTTCAATCCTTCCTTAGGTCCTCATTTCTTCGCTGGATTGTTTTAGCAGCACCTAACAGTCTTCTGATGGCTCTAACCACCACATTGCCAAAGAATGGTATTTCTTTAAAAAAAAAAGGAAGAAAGAAAGAAAGAAAAGAATGGTATTTCTTAAAAAAAAAATGATATTGTTTAAAAAGAAAAGAATAGCTTTATGTCTTTAAAAAAAAGGGGGTGCAGATAGTATTTCTGAACTGCAAACTTGATTATGTTCTATTCTCATTTGAAATCCTTCAGTATTTATTACTTAGGACTTTTATGTGAGCCAAACAAGGCCTGTTATTATCTGGCCCCAACCATTCTCCCACAAAACTTGAACTCCCTACATTTCTCCCACGTTGTTTCCCAGCTTCATGGGTTCACACATGCTAATCCTTTGCTAGGATGACGTACACTTGCTTTATCTTTCTGTAGAAATGCCCTCACGCTGGGGAGAATTCATTGCTTTTATGATTTTATTTGTCCATTTATTTATATCTATCAAATTCTTTCTATCAGATTGCAAGCCCTTTGAGTATAGGGCCAAGTCTCACTCTGTGTTCCTAAAGCCTATGGCTGTGCATATTGCATAAGAAATGCTCAATAACTGTTGACTGGCTGGCTAGAGAGAAGTGAGGTGAAAAAAATAAATGAGTGGTTATTAGTTTAATGGTCCCTGGGTGACCCAAATGATGTATGCTTGACTACTAACCAAAAAGTTGGCAGTTCGAACCCACCTAGTGGCACCATGAAAGAAAGGCCTGGCTACCAGAGGAACTAGATAGTGCCCCGCTACCACCATCAACCACTGGGAGGGGGAGCTATGCAGGAGCTCCTGGAGAGAGTGGGAGAACAATGCGGAACAAAACT